TTGCTAGGGAGTGAGCAAGCAAGGCACACGCTTGATTTCTAGCCATGGCTAGCACCCTTATGCCCATAAGGAGAAGGAAGAGGGCATGGAGGTGGTGGTTTGTTCCTCCTTAGACTCTGATTTTTCCTCTCAGAAGGAACAGTCTTTGTTGATTCTAAAATAAATGACCCCATTTCCATGCTCATTGATGGGGTGCAAAAGTGTGTAAGAATTGACTAACCCGTGCAGGCTCACACAAAGGTCATCAATATGGGATCATTTAAGAAGAAGAAGCCCATAAAGACCATCCCTACTCACTGATGGAAAAAGTGTTGTATGAGCCGCATTCTGAAAAGATATTTGTGTAACAAAACATTTTACACAGCAGTACTCGGTGGAGGAGGTGTTCCTCAAGGAGTGGGCGATGCCAGAGGTACTGTAGATTAAGCTATTTGTCTTAACAAAATCACTGACTGTGCCACTGGAGGACATTTAAGGATTCAGTGAACAAGCCTTTAAGGATTCAGTGAACAAGCGCCTTGTGGGATTGTTTACGGCTTCCTTTGCTCTTGTTGGACCTACCCTGTAGCTGGCAGTGGCTTCTTTGGAGGTGTGTCAGACCTTGGCAATCTGGACCAAACATTAATAACATTTGGAATTCTTGCCTGTTGCTCTGCTACTGTGTGGATGGCCTGCTTGTCAGCTCTCCTGTGGCCTAAATATTGTCCAACAGACCTGGCAGGCACAAAGCGCCTTGAGAGGATTCCCTTCATAGGTGAACATCTCTTCGGTGAGACCTGGATGCTTTCATCAAGAAGGTTACTGAAGGTAAAAGTGCTCTCCTGCCCAGCAAGCAGAAGCATAAGGCCCCTTCAGGTAAGACAGCCTTGTTGATATCTAGAAAGAGTTCCTGTTAAAAGCCAGGTCTGTGCAGACACTGTCTGCAAATGTCCAGAGAACTGTTCAGATGCTACAGAGTTTTGGGTAGATCTTCAATCTTCAGGAGCCCGTCTGGATCAAACTCACTGTCTGGAGTACCTGGGCCTTCTCCTGGGCATGGACTGGGCTTTTGTGTTGCTCCCCATGGGGAAGGTTTTGTCCCCTCATTCTCATGTGTGAATCCTCCAAGGCAAGGGTCAGCCATCTGTGAAATGTTCATATGAGCGCCTGCTGAGAAACTGAGTGCCTTACGCTCAGTTTCTCTCCAGACCACTTCATCTGAGCATTCTAGCTGCATGAGACAAACATACTCGCTGTAATGGATCCCTGCCATCTGCGCATGCGCAGAAGCAGTAGCCTACCAGCACGAAAATCCGCCATAGCGGCGCACAGGAAATGACATCACTGGCCCTATATAAACCCAGCAGCAGTACCACCATGTTGCTTGTTTATCGTCAGCTAATCCTTGTTCCAGTTTTTGTGATATCTTGCTTGATCCTTGTGACCCGGACTTCCTCGACAAATCTTGAATTCTGCCTGCCTTGACCACGGAACTGTTATTTGACCATTCTGCTTGACCCCTTTTTGTACTGGAATTGCCCGCTTGGAACCTGACCTCGGCTCGTCTTTGGACTACGGCTTGCACGGTGCTCAACACCACTGGCACTCCTGCCACTTGTTGTCCCGCTGGGCTCTGTTCCCAACCTCAGAGTCTCCCATGACACAAGGTGCAAGGGAAGCCTCCTCTCACATCCGTTCTCCCAGAAGGTACGTAACACTCGCTCTCTGGGTCACCCTGTGTGTTTGTTGGCCAAGGCAAGGTTTTTGCTGAAGTGGTTGGTTTCCAGTCTAGTCTTGGAAGCAGGGGAGTCCTTCACTTCACTGCAATGGCAGTACTTACAACAGATGTCAGCCTTTTGGGTTGGAGTGGTGTCCTTGGGAATTCAACTGTAAAAAGGGATATAATCGATGAGGCAATCCAGACTGTTCATCAGTGTGCTGGAGCTAAGGGCGAATCAACTCTCCAAACAGCATTGGACATGTCACCTTCAAGGGCGGCTGATGAGGGTCTAGCCCGACAATGCCATGGCTGTGGCATACATCAACCAACCTGAAGTCATGCCACTCATAGAGATCTGGTGATTGCCTGTGTGAAAACTCTCATTTTGGTGTTGACCATCATGCATATTCTGGAAGCGGAAAATTAGCAGGTAAACATTCTCTGCCACCAGCAGTTGGACTAAAGGGAGTGGTCTCTGCATCCCAAGATATTTCTGATGAAACTCTGACACTAGAGGAAGCTGAATATAGCCAGGAGCAGGAACCCGGCTTCCCAGCCAATCAGGAAGTGTGTATTGACTCGCCGCCCAGCTTCCTGATTGGTCGGGAAGCTGGTCAATCAGGAAGCCAGGCTGTGAGTCATTAGCCGCCCCCCTCCACCTCCAAATTGGTCAAAAGGCCGGCTCCATGCTTCCTCGTCACCAGGGAGCATGGAGTCAGCTTCCCAGCCAATCAGGAAGCTGGGTGCCATGTAATGACTCGGAGCCCGCCTTCCTGATTGGACGGAAAGCTGGCTCCATGCTCCCTTGTCACCTGGTGGGAGCATGGAGGCGGCTTCCTGGCTAATCGGGAAACCAGGCGGTCAGTCATTACACACCGCCGTGCTTACTTAATGGGACTTCCAGTATCAGTATTCAGTATCGGTGAGTACTGAAAAAAAAAAATAACGGTACAAAAAAACTTATACCCTGATCCTATCACAGAAAAAAAATTTGGGCTGATTAGATAGCTTCATATAATATGCTACTTAGCTCAAGTTCTGCTATGAAGATCTCACATTTCCAAGTTCCCCAGTGTCCCCCTCCCTCAAGATACCCAGAAACTTTGAATGATAGATGATTCATATCATGTCAGTCTGACACTGGCTGGCTGCCATTTTGAATAATTGAGTTACCAGGAAACAGGTTCAATCCTTGGGCTGATGTCAAATGGGCGATTCTGCCACTAGAGATAAATCGCTTGCAGAAGCCTGTCTATCACTGTGGAATCGTTGCCCTCTGTAGCCAGATGCAACAAGATGTCACTGTTGCTGGCCTGAACAATGCTGAATCTCAACCGCTAGTGATGGGGATGACGTATCAGCCTCAGGGAGCAATTCCATAGGGGCAAACAGGCATCTTCTTAGTGATCTTGCCAATGAGAACTTATTAGCAGAGTCACCTGTCTGACATCAACCTTGCTGTCCTTCCATGACAAACTGATAGTGGCAGTATCTGTCTCAGCAACTGTCCTACTTCACTAATCAGAGTGCCATCAGAGACTTGTAGAATGCCATTGTAAATTTCATTTGATTTTAACATTCGACTGTGAAAATAAATTGAGTTTCTCAAATAAAAAAACACATTCACTGTTATAATTTATATAATTTAATTCCTTCAAGAAAAACTTCATCCTACTTGGAATCGATCATCAATTTAACCCTATTAAAATTGAACAAGCAAAATTCCACTAGTGTATATGGCCAGCTTAAGAGTTCAGTGATAGTGTGCCTAAAAATCCCACCAAACTTTTATATTTGTAGAGGGTCACAGGCAGGGCCGGATTTACTCCCCCTGCCGCCCCAAGGCCAGGTTCCACAATATGCTCCGCAACTTCCCCACAAGGTCACCGCTGCCGCCCCTCTGCGCTCTGCCGCCCCGAGGCCTGGCCTCGGTGGCCTTGTGGGAAATCCGGGCCTGGTCACAGGATGACATTGAGAATTATAGCATTTATAGCTGTTGTCCTCAATGATACATTTTTCAAATACAGTAAACAGCAATGCCAAGCAACAAGAAAGGCAACAAATGAATTGCATTTATAGGGTTAAACTTTAAGATGAGGATACCAGCTAATTGTACCATTTTAAAAAGGAGGTAAAAATTATTTGTCCCTTAATAAGCTAAAAAGGTTCATTGTCTGTCAGTTTGAAAGTATATATATATATACACATTTAAAATTTGTATAAAGTAGGGGACATAAGTAAAGAAAACAAAAACAGCAAGTTATACATTTATAATTATAATGGCTGCATAAATGTGGCAAAAAAATACAAACTTTTGGAATACTAGGTTCCTTTTTATATTGGTAGCAGAGTGAAATATGTATATAGAGGTTTTGAACATAGTATGAAAATAAATGAGTCAAAAGTCTGACCTTGCAGAGGTACTATAAAGCAATGAGTTTAAAAAAGATGTCACAGATCTTGTCCCCAAGCGTAACCCTCATTGTAGCATATTAAAAAATGTAGTGAGAGAATATTAGAACTCCCCCCAAGTTTTTATATCCCCTCTGTGACCCTGACAAAATGTATACTAAATGATAGATCTGTGACCACATAGGAAGCAAGCAGAAATATCTCTAAATCAAACACGTCATTATTTATTACAATTTGGTTGTCATTCTCCTTGAAAAGGCAACTGTTGCAACAGCATTGAAAGGGGATTTGGAAGGAACTTGCAGCAGCATGCAAGTACACATATGACCATGACTACATGGTTTTGTTACCACTTTCAGCCCAATTATTAAACTTCGCTTTGATCCTCCTGTACATATTTTTTTTTTTTTATCAGTACTAGAATTCCACCCTGACAAAACAGACAATTGTACATCACAGCAAAAATTCATCCTAATAAAATTACCATGGGGACACTGCTATTCACCTGCACATTACTTGGAAAATTGATGTCCAATACTTACCATAATTTTCCCTTCCTAACAAGCTCCCCTGGCAGCATAGAAGAACTATTGACATAGTGATACTGAGCTAATAGAAAACATACATTTATGTACATGAAAACATATTACCTGACAGCTGCACGGCAGCATAAAAGAGCTATTTATATGCTGCCATGGAAAATTATGGTAAGTATTGTCCATCAATTTTCATTTTTCTTACATATACTGCTAAGAGCAACTATGCTGCTTTTATCAGTTATTGTCATAGAAAGAGAAAAACAGTTGCCATTTCAGCATTCAAAAGAAAGCTATGAGTGCACTAATATCGATCATATCCGTGTAGCTTACCTTCAGCAGTTAAATTGCGTACAGTATTATTGGTGAACATGTTGCCTGCTGTTTGTGTCATGTTCCCGGGTGCTATTGTTGAGCTAGTAGCTGTTGAAATAAACACAGGTTAAAATGTGTGCATCAGTTTTATACCCTGCTGCTAATCATCTTTGTTTTTTCCCACTAATACAACCTTTACAAAACCATAAACACAGTTTCAGTGCAGAATGGATTTGTACAGCAAGCATAAAACAAACAAAGCATATGCTTTCTCATATCAGTCATCAACCCTGGAACCCCTTACCATGTGTAGGCAATGCATATATATGTGCGATCCTGCCCCCCCTTCCTGCTCAGACCTGTAGGAAAGAGCACATTTTGCAAACGTACAGTAGACATGTGTCAGTCCATCAGCATTCCTAGGTCTCAGGTATTTGTTCTACATAAACTCGAAGTCTTGCAGAGCCAGAAACCATCTTGTGACCCTTGTATTGATCCCTTTGTTCTGTGCCCAAAAAGTAATACGCCAACGCTAGTGTACACTTTATAACCAGACACTCCCTTTCTACTATTGAAAAGCTCTTCTCTGCAGAACCATCTGTTTTAAGTTCTTGACGGAAGTTGGGATTGGTTAACACTGGTCCCTTTATACAATACTGCTGTCAGCTCTTGAAAAGCTCTCTCTGCCTTTTTATTCTGTTTCACCATGGTGGGGCTTGCTTCCTTTGGTGAGATCAGTAAATGGGGCTGCTAAAGTAGCAAAATTAGGCATAACACTCCAGCAGTGTCCTATAATACCTAGAATTGCTCTAAGCAGTTTTTTGACACTGGCTGGAGCCAATTTTTAATTGTTTCAATCTTGTTCGCCATGTGCAGGTTAGAAACCTAGGTGACACATATACACCGTCCACAATCCTGCCAGTCAGCGCCTCACTATACTGTGTTTATATATAATGTAATGTTTGGGGATATTAGCACATATGGTGAGTTTTTTAAGGACACAGCCCACCCACAATATCTTATTTTTAAGGGCCAGGTAGCCCACTTTTTTTAACGCTAGTTCACACATCCACATAGTATACCCCACAGGGGTTGTTTAGTACAGCATCCATGCACTGCTTGCAAAACACAGGTTTAGCCACCTGGCTTTCACTCTTAACAGTAAAAATTCTGACCCACTGATCCTCCCTGTAGTGCTGTCCCACACTTGGACTGGTGGCCCCCCATGCTCCCAGCTCTCCCAGCCTCCCCAGTTTCCTCAGCCTCACAAGTTCTCCCAGCCTCCCTGGCTGTCTCCGTGTGCCTCCAGCACATACACCACCTGCCTCCACTTTGACTTCTGGGGTAGTCCTCCTGACTCCTGAACACCATCTGTTCCTATTTCCCAGCAGGAGCTAATTCCCCTAGTAAGCACCCTTTCTTTAAGGGTAGTGCACACCTGTGCAATCATCATGTGCTGCTCACTGCTAAGCCCTGAACCCAGGTCTGGAAATTTCTTCCCTCCTGAATCACTTTGAAACCTCCCAGTTTGAGAATCCCAAGCAGAACCCAGAAAATCTAGAAATAACTGAAGACAGTTTATCTGAAAAAAAACCCTTGCTTCCTGAAACCTCTCAGCCCCCCTGCCTGACTGAGTTTTTGGGGATCATAACAACGTGGGATTGCCACACAATATCACTATATATAAAACAATGCTGTCTAGTGCTAAGAATTTGGCCTGAGCCACGGATCCATTTGTTGATGCAGTGTTCTACAACCAACATAGTACCTCACTTCACTGATAAAGTAGCCATATGCATTAACAATCTTTACATCTGCCCCTCCTTAAGCTTGTAGCCTTTATAGGCCTCATTCTAAACATTGAAAATGGCCAGTGCAATGGTTGATGTGATTGTGACTGGACTGGACCTGGACACTTGACATCTGAACACCTAAGACCTGTTCCTAATGCCTGGATCCCAGGCTTCACATTGTGCTCTGTCGACTCTGACACTTGACAATTTTTTTTATCAGTGCTCCCTCATTATGTAAAAATGTTTTCTAAACTATCCATTGTTCTTTTATATAACAAAAATACTTCTTTAGGACTGTTTAATATATGATTTTTGATATATGTACCACTGACAAAGAAACCATTGCAGGTGCTCTGAAGTATACATTTTGGATTCTTAAAAAATTAATTTATGATAGATTTCTCTGAAAAGTGACCTGTCAGAATAAAATTATGGGAGCCGCCATAGTTGACTTTTTGAAGGTTTCTGGTCTACAACTCTGTCTTATTCTTCCTCCACTACTTGGCAAGTCATATCTGAAACAAGAATTTTCTAATTAGGTATCCGGACCCTTGATATTCACAAACTGGTTGCAGGTCAGTGCATACAGCAAGTTGGCTCAGTTTTCATTTAATCATGTCACTTTAAGCCCCTCCCACACAGTGTGGAGCATACCATAGCATTACTCTCCATAGGGTGCCCAAAGCTTTTACAGTCACTAATGACTAACTGGGAAAAATGTTATACTGTCAAAATGTACAAAGATATAAAATAAATAGTAAATACGACATGAACAGCCAATGTTAACACTTTCATTTGTTTTTTTCATTGGCAGTGCAATACTACCAAAACCAAAAGCCAGTGCCATGTTTCCAGACTCAATAGGCCCATAATAAATGGTTCCAGCCCCCAACTTGAATATTAGCTGGTCTAATGATATTCCTGAATGCGATGCTAAAGGTAGAGTAAAAAGGCTGTAAGGAACATATTTATAAATCAGTAATGTGACTTCACTGAACATTCACAGGTGAATAAATCTCTGTCATTTAAAACTCTTGCATCAGGCAGATTCATCTGCAGTTTATATTTGTGAATGTCAGATTCACTGCTTTATGAACATGCCCCTAAAGGTGCCCATACATTGTATGATTCTCGTACGAGAATCGCGGGAAATCCCGTTTCTACTGTACGGTCGCACGTCTTGCGTCGAACAAGCAGACTTGAAAACCCGCCGAGGATCGTACGATTCTCGGCGGGTTAGTGGCCTGCTTGTTCGACAACTGCTGAACGGGCCAGTGTGCGCACGCGCACACTGCCCGTTTTCAGTGATCGGAAGCCCGCCCCTCACTGCGGTCATTGGAAGCCCGCCCCTCAGCGGGGCAGGCTTTCAATGATCGCAAGTATGATCTGCCCGTCCAAGATGGTACAAGCTTTCAATGAGCTTACGACCATCGCAAGACAAAGGTCTTGCGATGGTTGTAAGGTGTATGGGCACCTTTAGTGTAGTGGTATACAAGGAGAGGAAGGAGGTTAATTTCTATCAGTTGTGCAAAGACAAGAGTGTATCAAGAGCATTCTAGGGACATTCTGTGCCCTGACACTGACTGGGGGATATGTAATTACGGACACTGGCGGAACTACCAGGGTTGCAGCGTCGCATGTCAGAACGGGCTCTGGAGTTTCGCCACTTGCGGGAGCCCAGAAAGGGAGAAGAGGGTAACCGTCTACACTCACACG